CGTCACTGTGAAGTCAACGTCAAAGTTATAATTTTGAGAGTTAATAAATTTGTTCATATTTCATACATTTTTCGGAATTTCTGATTCAAACTTTGGAATTTTGTATTTTAGAAGAAGTACTATTAAAATCATCCAAAAACCAAATTTTGATAAAAATGACCTTCAGGGTCCTTTTTGCATGGGACGGCTCATATATCTTCCTTATATCAATGTCAAAAATCACTAATTACTCAAGTTCATTAATTTTCAATTTCAAAACTTCACCATTTAAGACGTGTAAAAGAATCTTGTACAACAAGCATTTATCACAGTGGTGTAAGTAGCGTAGCAGCAGACAACGAATTCTGGATAGAGAATGATATACAATTATCTTTATTGCTATTTAATATCTAAACATTGCAAAAACATACAAATTGATTGAATATATTTTAAGCTCTGGTTTTTCTGCAACAGCTGCTAAATGGAGAGCATATTTGTATCTTAAAAGAACATTGAGTACATTATTTGTGCGCAATATTTCTATGTTCTTTATCATTCAAGGTTTTCACAATATCTATAAGTTTTGCACATCCTCTTATAATAGTTTTTTTTATTGTTCATTTGGTGTTTGGTAACCGCTTACTACCATGTTCAAAATATTTATGTGCAATAGCTGGCATGGCAAGTTGGCATTTTAATATCTGATTCTCATTCATATCTAAATCCTTTAAATGTTCCTCTTTCTGATTAAGAAATACTTGAATGCAATCTATTCCCTTTTCTAAAAAGTTTTCCAGTTGACCGTCGAGATGAAACTCCTTCAAAGCTTCTTCAAAACTTGCACGATCAAATCCTATAAATAAAATTATAATATAATTCAATGATACTTATAGATATATAATATATATAATTTTTAAATACATTGTATATATCTCTTAAATATTAAATTTACCTATAGAACTTTTCGCATATGAATGGTCTAGAAATCGGCTGCACTGACTCTAACGAAGTTTCGAAATAACAAAAAATGACATATAGAAGCATATTGACACAGACATATCACAGATAAACGTATTCCTGTTCAAGCATTTATTTCTTATGTTCGAAAAAAAATTTAAATTGAAACTTTCAACCCACTCTTAAAAACATCTTGAATATGTCTGTTTAATAATTGTTGTTAAAAATTTATTATATTTTACATAAAATTTCGTAATTCCTTTTGTTTATTCAAAAGAATTTTCTAATACTATCTTATCTTTGTGATTTCACTGTAAAGTAAAAACGACATTAGAACTCTTAACAATTCAATCTTACTCTAAATATGTTTATTCTATATCGATTGAAAGTTAACGATGTAAACTAAAGTCAAAATTATACTATTCGTATATGTTACTTACCCTCTTTTCTGATACATTACAGTCTAGAAAAAATATAAAAAACTAAATTTTTAAGGCAGCCATTTAAAGTGAAATAAATGGAAATAGCGAACAGTATCCAAGGTCAAAAGCCCATTCAACAATACACAATAGGAGCAGAGCAATTTAGCTAATTTAAAATAAAATATGGATTGGATGATAAAAATAAAACAATACATGTATATCAATTCAGAAATAGATACTTGAAGAATCAAGCGTCTAAAATATAATGTCTAAAATATAATGTTTATTTCTTGAATTGTACCCAAGACTTAATCAATGATTTGCTTTTTAAGAAACAAGCAATTGGAGGAATTTGTTATAAAACGTAAATATCTGGCAAAAAGGGGTGAACTCGAAAAATATTGAAATGACAAAGGTTGATTTGCTGTTGCTATCAAACTACGGTATAGACAGATTTGGATTGTTCATATCAACCAAAGCAATAGGTAGATTTAAGTTATTCGTATCGAACAATGCAGTAGGAAGATTAGGACTATTGGTGTCACACAATGCAATAAGTAGATTAGGCTTGTTTTTAATCAAACAGGGCAATAGGTAGAATTGGGTTGTTCGTATTAAACAATGCATGTCGCCTGCGTGGCGCAATGATTAGATTGTCTGGTCTAGAGTCGCAAAGTAAGGAACCGATTCTTACATAGTGGGTTCGAATCCCATTGTGGGATGTGAAGACCGGTTCTTTGGATGAGAACTTATCAACGAGGTCCCGTGTCACAGCAGGTACTGGCACGAAAAAGATCCCTCGCTGCTCAGGTGCTCTGAGTGCGAAGTATGGACAAGATCTGAAGCTCTCCACCGGAAAGTGAAGGCGTCTCCGAATGATTGAAAAATTACAAGATTGACAAAAACAACGATCAATCAAAGAATGCAAAACATAAAGTGAAATTGCTTTTAAAATAGTTTAGCATTGTTTAGATCAATATAACAAAGAATATAGGACAGACGAGTAAATTTGTCAGCTGAGAACATATTTACCTGTCGGTGTGTTATTGATGCAATGACAAGGGCTGGCATCTATATGGTATAAGAGATTTCCTTGTTCCTGTTCTGAATTGTGAACATTTTGTCTGTAACTGAGGTCAACCTTTTAAAAAAACTTAACGTTAAGGCATTACTCTTCATATTTTGAAAAAAGCCCTTCATAATCATGTTTCGAATGATTGTGAAAGGGACATTCTCATGACTGATATTGTAAGGGTTCATTATGTAAAGACAGTCAATTGAAAAAAAAATGTTATTGAAAATGAAAAATGTTATTGCTATATGTAATAAGTAAGGAGTTAAAAATATCTAAATATATATAGAGAGAATAATACGAACCCTTTTCCATATCACATCCTGTATCAGCCCGAGACACCAATATCAGCCAGAGGGCCGAAGGCCCGAGGGCTGATACAGGATGTGATGTGGAAAAGGATATGTATTAATATGTTTATTACATACTTAGTAATAAAATACAGCATGCATTAAATTGAGAAGAAAATAAGTAAATAATTATGCATGGACTTCTTACATACATGTACATGGTCTATTGTCTCGTACGATTTGGGTTTGTTTCTACTTCTATTTCATCGCACTCCATCCGTAATTTGAAAATAATCTATTACATGTATTTGTATTTTAGATTAACCTTATTTTCCAAAAGTTAAATTTAAGAGAATATGAACCCACCAAAAATTGTGTATGATCACAAGTACTGTTTTTGTGATTAGATTTACTAAGGGTGTGAAATTGACGTCACAATAGACGTATCAGCCCCGCAGGGCTGAAATGGATTTGCTGGGCTGATATAGGTAATCAGTCTCGCAAATCCATATCATCTCTGCAGGGCTGATACGGCTACTTTGACGTCAGCCATATCGCATATGCAAAAAACCTGTATTTATTACTAAGTGTGTAATAAAAAGGAGGATTGAAATCTATTAGTTTATACACATTGTGCTGCATGTAATATACCACCACCAAACGACCACAAAGTTCACCAAATTATAACACTTTTCCTCAAAGTGACAGGGAACTTATAAAACAAGAATAAAAATTGTGCTGTTGAAAGATAATAATAAAAGATCCTTCAGGACAAGTATTGCAACTAGAAAAGAAAGGACTGATGTTCTTTTTTCAAGGAGATTGTTCTCCAATTCAACCACAGATTAATACAATTCTTTAAAGATCCAAACATAGTTTCCTGTTCACAAAACATATATCGTTTTCTTTACTTCTGTCAGTGTTTTTTTTGTCTTTTACATTTCGAGGGTTTTAGTCTTGATTCGAAGGACAATATTTAACATCATTGATAAATTCAACGATTACAGTCATTATATGATGGATGTAAAATGGATAACAGAGACATGTATTCCGAATCCCACACAAACATTAAGTAAGTAAAGCTGAGAGTAAATATAAATGTTACTTATGTGTGATTTGTTAGAAAAAGAATTTTCTTAACATTATTTCTTCTTCTTTTTAATTCAGATATTTAAAACAAGCAAGGTTGGTTTTAAAACTTGTTTCCTTTTCGTAATATAATAATAAAAAAGTTGTTATTCGATTGAAAAGTCTCATAAAATTAAACTGCATTGAAGAAATTTATTGAAGAACGTCAAAAAATAGCTATGCATATAGTTAAGGGCTAAGACATGAATTAGTATGATATGAATAAGTTAAGCAACATGATTTTCAAAGACTATTAAGAAACCTACATTGTTTCTTGGATTAAAAAGTCCTGAAACCAAAAATTACAAAAAAAATGAAATCACTTATTTTCTTGGGTTTTAATTTTCGTGGTATTCAAGGAATGGATAGACCCACAAATTTATGTCCACTACGAAATGCAATTTTTTACATAAATTACTATTTAACAATACTTCATCCACTAAATCATATCCCTAAAAATCAATATATTTTCCTCCACCCACGGAATTTGGCCCATCAAAGATATGTAATTTTACAATAATAGCTAAATAAATTCTTATCTTATTTTGTAAGAAGTTGCGTGTGAAAATGCAAAACGTATAAAAAATAAAACAACTCGTATTTTAAATAGATTTTTATAGTACTTACTGTTTTTTAATCTCTGATCCATTAATATTCCACTTAAAATTCCACAGACAAAAAGTATAGGCCAAAAAATCAGACCAAGAAATGTGCCAAAACCCTCTCCAGGACTACCAAAAATTTTAAATAATTTACATACTAATGGTACATGTTATTATTTTTTTTTTATCTTTTTTCTTATATTTTTAGTAATGTATTTTATTCTTCTGACATTATGTTTTAATTAGCAATTTTATACTAACAAAGATGTTCCTTCACTTTTTCTGTCTATGGTATTAGGATGGAACATACTAGTCTTTTCCACTCTTAGCAACCGCTGCTGGCAAATATGATCTGTAAACAATAATTTTATTTCTTTCACTTAATCATACGAGTAAGTCATATACTAGTGAATATTCTACTGACAGTAACACAATAAATAAAACTCCATTTTATTAATAACAATGTCGAGATGTGCAATAACGAGGCCTAGAATTAGTTTTTTTCATCAATTATCGTTTTGGTAGATATACGGTAGATTTAACATTGGTATAAGGAACTGTCATAATGTAGAATATTTTGCAATGGAATTGTACAGAATAGACAATTCAGTTCCTATTTATCAAAAAACTGTAAAAGTTACCTTCAAAAGTCTTAATAAAATAGAGAATCGAATTGAATATTTAAAGGAGCCTCGGTCTAGGTCTATATGGATAATACTTAAGAATGTGGATAACTTGATAGGAGGATGGAGCCATAATGGAAATTATTGGTCAACAGACAAAACTACGTACTCAGTATAGGAGTCAAATAAATACGTTTGATTTTCAATTAAGAGGCCCCTGAATGGGACAGCACGACGTTGCTGATAACAAAAAAACTTCATTCATCACACATGAAAGAATTCCTTTTTGTGTTAAAATTGCTATGGTGCTAGCTCACTTATCTTTTTAGAAAATAAACTTGTGTTACATGAAGCATTAGCTGTCTCTCTATTATGACGTCACAATAAAAGCTTTCACTCTCGTAAATGCTCGTTTTACTGCTTCAAACATCAGAACATTATCCAAACAAAATGTGTTTTACAAAACAATTGCAATAAAATATATAGTTTCTTTCTTTGTCTTACAGAGTTGAATAATATCTTTTTTTATATTCTGTACAAAACAAAATATGACTCACAGTTAAGTATGTCTGCTGAGAAAAATGTTTTGGAGCAGCTACTTGCATTGCAGCGATCCGTATATAATACCTGAATATCTTGCCTTGAGCTGTCATATCTGATACAATATCCTATAAAGGAACAATTCAAAGACTGAGGATTCTTATATTTGGAAGCCAAAAATAAAATAATACTTAAATTGAAGGCCCAATAAATTAGTATTTATATCGTTTACACGTAGGACAGGAAGACACAAATTAAGGTAGATGGTGTTCAAACCTAAGATATTACTAACCGGGTGAGTAAATTGCTGGAGCACATACTTCATATAGCTTGTCTTTTGTTGTACTAATAAGGCAGTGATAAACAAAGTCCTCAGGTTTTGAACAGTTTTGCAATCTTGCTAAACTTCCACAATCCTTCTCGTCTTTAGCCCTCTGAAGTTCTGTTTTGCTTTGTGGACATGTAGGTACAGTAGCTAGAGTTGGTTTTGATGCTTTACAAGTATCCGATTTACAGACATAGGCCTACATTAACATGAACAAGAACCATTGCTTGAATATTCATTCCTTTATTTAATGAATTTTGGATAAATTTTATGAATGTACGAAAATCATAGTTTTAAAATTTATACAAAATGTCACTTTTCATTGTCGATAGCATATATTGTACAAGCTTTTAAAATCATCAGAGATATTTCCCGATAAAAAAAAATTCTTATTGTACACGAACGTTCTTCTCATTTTTTGTATACATGATGTTATTAGAGGGGAAATTGATTTATTTTTAAACATAATTATTATTTTTTACTTCTTTAACCCAGTTGAATTACTTTTCAATCAGGAACACTTTTACTGCTCACATATATCACTTATAACTTTGACAAGCATAACTCTTTCAAATAGACTTTTATTTTTTCCTTCTGTATTCGTTATTTTTTTCATTTGTATTGTACCAATCCAAATTGAAAACAAATCGAATACAACATTTCGCATGCCATACTTATGGACATGATCAACTTCTGCGTCCATCTACAACAAGGTTAGTAAACTTATGAAAGTATTTTACACTTTCATTCAACAGAATCAAACCTTTTGAAGGACAAAAATACAAATGATAATAGCTGGCCAGAGATATTGTCTTCCCTTTTCTTTTTTCATCTGCAAGAAGCAATAAACAAGTTAAATTAAAAGAAAATTATAGGTGATGTAATCTAAATAAAATTCACCATTTAATTTGCTACATGTATTATATGTTCAGAATTGAGGCAAAAAATTTAAAATCTACACAACGAGAAATTATTACATAAAGCTTTTATGATTCCTTTGCACATTAACTTATTATTAACGTTTTTCTTTATGCAATACTAAATGTGCTTGTATACGTATGTGGTTTGTGAAAGCAATAAATACAAGCTAATTCAGAGAATTTGCGTTCCCCACTTAGGGAAAAAGTAAACCATGCGCAGTTCGGATCCCCTTGACTGAATTTGTAGAATTATTAAATGTATATATGTATACTGAAGCAAATAAAATATGCCAGTGTTGATAATTTATAAAGATTTGATTATTTATTCTTTATTATGTGTATAGAAGATTCTTTTGTTTATTTACCACACTGTAATGATGACTTTATGAGTTTGTACAAGCCAGACCTCATATATTTTTCTTTTCACATGATGAATACTATATCATTTAGTATAAAAAGTATTTTGAAAAAAAAAATGGATCGTCCGAGATGCGTACCCGGGCCACTCACGTATGAATCGAGAAACATACAGTGGAGTCTCCAATTCCGGGTCGTCTCCAATTCCGGGTCACTCATTGTATTTTATGTCATTTTGTTAAAATTTAAGCGCAAAAAACTTAATGATTACTCTGGTCATAAAGAATTGGCCTTTCTATATGTAATTAATTTAAAACAAATTATCATTAACTTTAAAAGAGCATCCGACAATCGAAATTCAGAAACGCACGCATTTAAGACTTGGATGTTTATGCTGCGGTGACGGCTACTTTCGTTTTTGTTCGCTGCAGAAAGGCTGATATAAAAGTTCTAGATAAAGAATAAGAGCTCGAAAGTATGGCAAATGCATTTAGTTTTTACTCAGACATCAATCATAATGATCGCTGCTCAAATAAAATTATAATGATTATTAAATCATACTGTTTTTAAATAAATGAATTTAATTGTATTATGTTTAATCCTTATACCTTTTTCTTTTTAATCTGCAGACTGCAGTTTGTTTTGTTGTAATTGTTTTAAAAATAATTTAAACATATTTCTGTGGTGTTTTACTTTTTTTCCAAGCTGCGTGAATTGTTTTATGTTTCAACATCATAAAAATCGTGTTCCGAAACTTTCCATGAATGTTACACGACCATGAAGTCACATGACCCGGAAATGGGGAAAACGATTCGTAACTGGGGAAGATAGGCCTTGTGGAATACCCCTGTAAATATTGTTCCCGTATAGCTACTTGAAAACAAAAAGATGTTTGGATGACTCACTATTTGTTCTTTCAATACATATATTGCATATAAAATAAATTGAACAGATTTGCAAAATATCAACGAAACACCCTGACATGACCAGGAATTGGCGACTTCACTGTACCACTAGACCACGGACCTGCTTTAAACTGACACAAATCATATGCACAGATGAAGTCACATACATGTATATTTTCACGTTCGATATTGTCAAAATTTTACACAATGCATGGTGTCTAATTTAACTTTTATTAAGACCAATTCTCTGTAATTATCAAAATTGGCTGGCCACGCATAGTAACAGATTTTGATTTTTCTATCATAATTTAATACAGATGTGTGAGTGATTGTTAAAACTATAAAAAGTTTTTTAATTATAATCTTGGTTGCCATGGAAACGGGATACAAAGTTTCTCATTTTGGTAAATCTTGAAAATCTGTGCTTTTCATGAAAAATCATGTCCAGAGATGAAATGAGTTATCTAATTTTGTGTTTATTGTTTTAATTCAATACTAGAGATTCAAACAACAATGTTTATGGTTAGATTTTAATTTCACGCTCATAAGTGGTCATGTTATACATGGCAAAATATAAAAAATATGGTAAATTTTGTTCAGTTTTTAGAGACTTAAAACAAAAAAATGCAGCTGTTTACAAATTTGGCAATAATAAAACATGAAAGGCCGATGTTTGATAATATCAAAACAGTTTAAAAATTTGTGGGCAAATGATATTTGTAAAACAAATTCAAAGGTGAATATTAATTTTTTCTGCATTTTGAAGCATTTTTTGCTTCCAAATTACTTCCCTTGGATTACTCTCTAGCGCCTGGAGGTACTATATGTAGACATTGTAATGGTAAGGGTGCAAAACACAGTTTTATGTATGACGTTATCAGGACGTTACTTGGTGAGGGACAAGCAAAACTGACCCCTATAAAAAAATAAAATGGAGGCTTGTTACATAGACTTCTGCATATCAATGGAAAGATAAAATTGTGAATTTTGTAAATATCCAACTATAATACATTCATCAATTACTACTAGGGGGTATTTGACACCTGAAATATGGGGGATATTGAGTTGTTTATGCATCCATTTTCAGTGCACCTATGCATTTTTAACCCCCCTGCTCAACAAAAACAGAAAAAATCAGACAAAATAAGTTGTATGCATTTCACAGAACAAGTCCTAAGGTTTTCTTTTAGTGTGCTTTCAGGGTACATTTTCCACCTCATGAAAGAGCTACATTACCTGCTAATTGACTCATGCAATTCTGCACATGTGAAAACCGGATGTTTTGGGAGTTATCTCCCCTTATTAAAAAGTCTCATAAATCTTTTTTTCTAAAAATGAATGCACATTTTTTTCTTTAAATATTAAGATAAGATTCTACTTTATGTGAATAAAAACAAAAATGATGCAGTTTTCATCTAGACTCCTATAAATAGCAGGAAAATCCCTACCCAGCATGCTTCTCTCTGGGAAAAACCCCCTAGATTTTATACGAAACTGTGTTTAGCTACCTAAATAAATGATTTGGTGACTGAGAGCGAGAAAAGTTATTCAAGCAGGCGAAGATTTGCAGTGTGGAAGAAGAAAAAGGACCAAGATGTAATACATAATGAAGACAAGAGGTAATTATAGCCATTACAAATGCTTAGTATATGTATGTTTCTCTCTCTCTCCATTTTATTGGCAATGCATGCATATAACCCGAGATTCCTCTGTTTTGAAAATTGTGACACTTGAAGGGACCTCTGCCCTGACTCTCCCATGAAATTTCACGATGAAAAATTGTTTTATATTTATGACAGACCATGTAGGTCAGACACATTCTCCTTACATAACACTGTATACTTAGAGTTTTGCATTGTACATTTCTTATCACACTTTTTCCTCATGTCAGCAATCTTTTTATGAAGTTTAAAAAATGCATCCTGGTGCATAAGGGCTTGCTCCAGGTGTGTAAAAATATTTATTGAAAAAACATAGATTTTTAATTGGTATATGATATTTTTAATGTTTTTTTTTGTTTTTGTTTGTTTGTTTGGTTTTTTTTTTTTTTTTTTTTTTTTGGGGGGGGGGGGGGTGTCTCCTCCAGCTTTGAACCAATTGTCCAAGTGGAATATGATAGTTTGTGTGGAATATCATATCCTAAATGAAATGCAAATTTTCAGTGCCAAAAATAGGGGGAAATTATATTTGAGATTTAAAAAAAAATAATTCTTGCAAATCTACATGTACAATGCATCAATGGGGAATCAATGCTCTAAACAGGATAAATACAGAATAATTGCTTGTGATTTTGCAAAAGTCAATGTTATACATATTAATTTATGGGACTGAAAATAAATTTATAGCCAGATATTTTGCACTGTAATTTTTTAACCCTTAGCTTTCATAGCATTATTGATCACTTTGCATGAGATATGATATACTTTTTACCAAACAATGAATTCCAGAATACACCACACATCTTTAGTAGTGTACAAATTTTCCTTAATTTTGTGCACTTTTTTTTAAACTTGTACTTTTTAGTTTTTAGTCCATTTCATTTGAAAAGTATTTACATGTATTTAAAAAGATGACTCAAACTTTTTTGTAACTTACAATGACATGTGTTATTAAAAAGGAGGGGTGTAATGATCTTATGAAGTATTCAATTGGTATACCAGTATGCATTAATACATGTACATTAAAAACTGTTAAACAAAACATATATTTGCATATCACACTATGTACCCTTTTCAGCATTTATTAATATTTCTGATTAGTTTTAGTGAAAAAGAATATGCAACTTTTCATCTTTGGTGTATACATTTTTCTAAAAAAAAAAAAAAAAAAACACATATGAAACATTCATGCATGAGAAGCTAGCTTTTATCAGCTGATAAAATATTTTGTTTTAGATAGTATTACTTTATTTTACAAATTCTGAAGATCTGCATCTATTCTTCTTAATTGCCTGTGTGATGCAGTGATTATAATTAGAGTGTCTGCTCTAGAATTGTGAAGTAAGGAGTTGAAT